GCAACATGTCCAAATTATGTTAGACGAAGCTTCAAAATCCTCGCCTCCAAGGAGCAGCCTGGCTTCACCCTCTCCAGGACGAACTTGTTTGTTCTTATATCAGTCCATGGTATGTTCAATACTCTTCTCCAGCACCAAAGCTCAGTGGCATCAACTCTCCTATCATCCCTAGTCATTGTCCAGCTCTCTGATGCATAGCTAGTAATTGCAAAGATCATAGCCTGTATCAGGCGCACCTTAGTCTCCAGACTGACATCATTGCTCTTCAGTACTTTGGAGAGGTCTCTGACAGCAGGCTTTTCCAATGCAATTTGTCTTTTCATTTCCTAGCCAAGCAATCTGAAGCTGTCAACAAGCTCAATCTCTTCACCATCTATAATGATGCTGCCAATTGGCCCAGTGGTGAGAAACTTTGTATTCTTTTTTTTTTCTTTTGTGCGTGTGTGTGTGTGTACCGTCAAATCAGATCTGACTGGTACAGGAGGAGATTGTCCCTCCTTTTCCCGGCAGAGCATCTGGTGGATTCGAACCGTGTGCCTCTGGGATTGTAGTTGCAGCTCCTTACCACTAGGCCACCAGAGCTCCCCAGAAGCTTTGTATTCTTGACGTTGAGCTTCAATCTATATTGAAGGCTGCAGTCCTTGACCTTCTGCAGCAAGCACTTCAGGTCCTCCTCAGTTTCAGCAAGCAAGGTTGTGTCATCTGCATAACGCAGATTGTTGTTGCTTCTGAAAACCCACTGCTAAGGGAGCTTTGGTGGCCTAGTGGCAAGAAGCTGCACTGTAATCCCAGAAGTACAAGGTTTGAATCCACCAGATGCTCTGCTGAAGAAGGAGGGGCAGGTCCTTGGAGAAGGACATCGTGTTTGGGAGGGTGGAGGGACAGCGCAGGAGGGGAAGGCCCTCTATGAGGTGGATTGATTCAGTCACTGGGGTAATCGGGATGGGAGTGTCAGAGACAGTGTGATTGGCACAGGACAGAGCAGAGAGAGTTTAGGGCTGTTGTACATAGGGTCGCTATGAGTCGCAAGTGACTCAACGGCACATAACAACACCACCAGTCAGATCTGATTTGATGGTACACACACAAAAAATAATAAAATAAATTTTAAAAAAACAAACAAAAAAAACACCCACTGCTGGGTCAGCTATGGGTCAATTCTGACTCCACGGTACGCAAAAAACCAATAGACACTCCAATTGTAGTGAATATTGAATGAATGTGCATGTGTGTCTGTGCGCATGCACATTCTCCAAGGACTGGGCCCTCCTAAAAAAGCTTGTGAGAGCAAACGTCACCAACCTTGATTCCAAGGAGCACTCTGGTTGCACTCTCCCCACGACAGACAATTGTTTGTTCTTTTGGTAGTCCAAGGACTATTCAGTACTCTTTGTATACCACAACTCAAAGGCATCAATTCTTCTGTCATCTTTAGTCCTGTTGAGCTTCTGGATACATAGCAAGTAATGGAATAGACCATGGCTTGGATCAGGTGTATCTTCATCTTTAAACGGAAATCCTCGTCCTTCAGCATTTTAATGAGGTCCCTGACAGATTTTCCCAATGTGATACATCTTTTGATTTCTTGACTGCTAAGACTAAATTGTTATATGTTGTTTTGTGCTGTTGACTTAGGATAGACTCATAGCTGACCCTCCAGCAGGTTTTCAGAGGCAGTAAATCGCACAGGAAGAGACTGCTCATCCTTTTTCCAAAAAGCAGCTGGTGGATTCAAACTGCATACCCTTGAGGTTGCAGTACAACATACTGAAATACTCTCTTGATACTCTAGAGTGTTCAGCTTTATATAACAATGGAAACATAATAGCATCATTGAGAATGAATAAAGTATTGCTACATGCAGTAACACCATTAAGTATGATTTCACAATGTGGAATGAAAGACTCCAAACAAAAAGTACATATTTCATTATTTCATTTATGTGAAGTTTAAAACTAGGCATAATTGGTATGTAATTTTAGAGACCAGTTAGCAGTAACCATCAGGAGAAGGTAAGGATTGAGAAGAGGCACAAGAAATGTCTCTAATTTTTTATCAGAGTAGAGTCTTCATGGATATAATTAGTCTCTGTGTAAAAATTCTTGGAGCTTTATACCTATGGTTTGTGCACTTTATTTTTATTATTAATTTCAATGAAATTTTACAGAGACTTTGGATTTCCATTCATTCATTGTTGTACTTTTCTCCCCTGCCAACCCTCCCCCCCAGTACACTACCATCTTGGAAAAGTAAAAGAAAAATTCTTACATTGTTTTACAATCCCTCCCCCCCAGGTCCACTCCACCATGCAGCCTTTGCTCTGGACTCCC